ACACACACACACACTCTCTCTTCGTAACGAGCTTAGCCCTGACCTTAAGCTAGGAAGACTTACGAATCCGCGTAAACAGCTGACGTGCAATCACGTATCAAATTTCCTCGTCTGTCAAAACGCTATTGCGATCGAACTCTCTTTCTTTCACCTCGAGCCAACTACAAATCTTACGACCAAGGAAATCCAAAAAGAAAAAAAGAAAAACAGAAAAACAGAGAAAAGAATTCGAGTATATTTACCTTATCTTGCGACAGAGGTAGAGGCAGAGTCATACAGCCCAACAACTCGCTACGTCTGAAACACGAGAAACGAAAAGAGGTTGCATGAATGTACGCGCGTTATATCGACTGTACATCGTGTGCATAACAGTGTCTATCGGGTTATCGGCGCTACCGGTGTTGGTTGATACGTACGGCAAACACACAAACACACACACACACACAGACAGACACAGACACGTACACAAGTTTTAACTATTTACATCGGGGCGGAGGGAAGCGGAGAGGAGGCAGACAGCGGAGTTTCGGGGTTGTTTGCCGTTGTACACCGTTGCAGAGACGCGCGGATGTTGGCGAGTGCACGTGGTGAACACGATGCGCATGCCTCGCAGGGAATCGATTCCCCTCCTACCGCAAGGAATCCGCGCATACCCCAGAAATTCGTTTTGCTATTCAGATGGACCCGTTGGCTCTCGAATCCACGTAAAATTATCCACGGAACCCGCGTCCCGTTATCGACCGGTAAATAAACCGGTGATATTTCCTCGCGTGGCGAGACGTGGCGACTCGGACGACCCTCGAATTACCTCGAATCGACGAAACTCGAACTCGCAGGAACCTCCTGCCCCTACGAAGTTTTCGAATCGCGCGTTTAAGAGACAGCAAGAACGGAAAGGGGAGGGAGGAAGACGGAGGGAGAAAATATTGGGAACGGGGTTGCTTAGCTCGTTCGTCTTGGGCTTAACGAGACCGAGCCGTAGTTCTTGACCCCGATATCCTTCCCTCGGAGACAGCGCCTACTTCCGTGCCCTTTCGTTTCGCTAAATGGCACGATCGCCACCTTCGCTCGTTTTCCTTCCTCGTCGCCTTGTCCCTTCGTTCGTATATGAATTTTTCATCCGTCCGGCGATCAATCCGTCTCTGACGAACTTTCCGGCTTCTCGCGGTTCACGTTGTCGACGAACGCGTGTTTCGCCCGCGTGTCCGCTACAAACACGCAGGAAACAACGGCCCGATTACGAGTACTGGTGGACGACAACGCGCAGTCTAAACTATTTCTTGAAGATCTTCAACGACCGGCACGGAGGTGAACGCGGATTGCGTGAGATTAGTATCTCGTGCCGTGTACGAAGCGGTACCGTACTATCGTTTTCGGAAGAAGTCTTCGACGCGACAGCGAAACTCGTGCGATCACGTCGAGGGAACGGGGCTCTCGTGTCGATCGTCGTCGGTAACCGGACCGATCGACGACGACAACGACGAATCGTCGTTACGGGACGAGTCCCTCTTCCAAATGACGCATGCACACACACTTTTTTTCTTTCTCTCGAGGATGCTCACCTTGCACGACGATCTCTGTGCCAAACCGCGATGTCCAGGGACGTAGTCTTGCTGGTGTAGTGGTTGTTGTTCACCGGGCAGGGCAGTATCAAGGTCTCGTGGAAAACGGGATTCGGCGTGGCCCTGTGCACCGCTGTCCTCTTCACCACTCCTTCGCCGTTCGTGTTCTTCAAGCTTGCCTTCACGTAAGCGTGGACGGGACCTTCGTACGCCCTCCTCAGGTCCTTGCACCGTATCACTGCGCGAAAACAGAAAGAGAGAGAGAGAGCCACGTCAGGGCACGTCACTCGATCGCGAATCCTGATTTCTTTCTACTCCTTTCTCTCGATTGGCCAGATCGATCCGCGAAACAACGATACCGATAGTCATCGGAGAACACGCGCAACTTCCTCAGGACTGGTTCCTCTCCTCGAGGCCGACCGACCGTACATTCGCACGCACTACGCGCATCGCGAGCGCCCGGCCAATGCGGCACTTCTCTACTTGCTGCAACACGCATCCACCACGAGGAGCGACTTCTCCTCGGTGTTCCCTGACGGAACGGACCCCAAGAAGCTATAAACGCTTCAACGGCAGGACGAGAAACCGATTCGGAGAGATCGATGTGACAAAACTAGACCACCAACGGCTAGAACCTCGTCGTCGAAGACTCGTCAACAACACAAGGAGTTACCTGCTCGACGAAAGTGTGTGTCGACGACGACGAAGAAGAAGAAGAAGAAGCAGCTAAAGGAAGGGGGAGGCTGTCTCGGAGAGATTTTTTTTTCGAGAGTTGTTTACGCAAGGACGTGTACAGAGCGGAGAATCAATGTTGGTAGACTTTACTAACCGGGAGGCCAATTGCCAGGAGGGTCTGTGGGTTACTGGCACAGTCGTCTATCGCGGGGTGCCAACTGAGACACCCCCTCTTTCGCGGCGTGTGACCGGCGCATGCCTTCTCGCAACAATGTTTCAGGGACGTCTTTGCGCCGCGGAGACCCTTGCGACCACTTCCTTTCAATGGGGATGGTGTTCGTGCGTCCCATGTTTCGATCGTCGAAGGTTTATGCGCGTGTATGTGCGTTGCAATGTGACACGTGACACGACGTAGTCACGCGTGTCATTATCTGCTGACGCTTTCTAAAAACGGCAGGTACTTTCGAGAAGGACCAGCTGCTTCTTCTTCCTCGTTCCTTTTCCTCATACTCACCTCGCACGTGTATCTGATCGCCCACGACGGAATACTCGATCTCGATCGATCCGTGACAATTCTGTCGCGGCGGCTCGCTCTCCGGGCTGAACTTGAGACACCTTCTGACAGTCGCGACCAACGGAGTCTCCGGAGTGTTCGACACCGAAGTCAGAAGCGACTTCGAGCTGTGAAAGTCGTCGGTGAGAGTCGACTTCGGGCTGTCCAGGTCCCACGTGTTTGCTTTCCTCTCGACCTCCTCCTCTTCCTCCTCCTCCTCCTCCTCCTCCTCGTTCTCGTCTTTGCGTCCTTCGTCGAGCTCGCCTTCGAACAGAGCCTTCGGCTCGAGCACGCACTTCTCGTGGTCCAAGGTAGCGTCCAAGTCGGTCTCCAAAGCGAGCTTCTTCACGTTTGGATTCACAGCTTCGATCAGAGCGTTGTTCCCTGCCGCTTCGTTCGGTTCTTTCGCTGCATCATCAGCGGACGGACTGCGATTGGACGATCGTCTCTTTGCTCGCTTTCCGTTGAAGGTTTTCTCGGTGTCCTTCCGGTGCCGTTTCCTTCGTATCCCACGCTGCCTCTTCAGGGTGAATTCTCCTTCGTCGAGATCGTTGGTGGGCGAGGCAAATGCCCAGGACATCGGTGATGGGTCCTCCAACAATTGACTAGCCGAGGAGACGGAACTGTCGTTGTGACACGCCGTCTCATCCTCCATGATCGTCTCGCACGTGTGATCGGACTTCGCGGCACTCTCTTCCTCGCCTCGGCTGCTCTCGAGAACCTTCTTCCTCTCCTCGACGTCTCCCAAAAGTATCTCCGCCACCGTCTTCCCGGTGAAATTCATTTCCTGCTCCCTGCTAGGCACAGGTAATAAAAGTAATAAAAAAGTGGTAGACGACTTGATGAAAAAGTGGTACAATTTGTTAACCGATACTTCTTTGACAATACAAAGAAATTATAAATTATATAAATTATATAAATTCTGCTTTAGTTTCTTTGTATTGTCAAAAAAAAATCGAGGACAACGATTCGTCCTCCCTCTTTGTGTTGACCAGCAATTCTAACGATCTCCGCGCTTCCTCAAGGTCATTGTATCCATGAGAAGGCCATCATCACAATTTTCGTCATTCCGAAATTTCCAGGTCGGTCCATGATAGATCTCGTGTTGAGAGGATCGCAAAGTCCAAGGTTATAGTATTGTCGCGTGTCGCTTACCTGTTGAGAACCTCCGTGACCGTGTTGTCCATGTTCTCGAACTTTGGTAAATCTTGGTCAATGGCCAGGTTCGACAGTTTCCCAGCGAGAGGCGTCTGGTTGCGAGACTTGGCCTTGAACGAGCCGGTGGCGGCCGAGGAGGCCACCTTGCCACCATGGTACGGCGTCTTGTTGCGGGCGTGAATCTTCGTGATTCTCGCCAGCTTCGGCAAGTACGACATCCTCGAGCAGTCGGCGAACGTCTTGGACGTCGTCCTCCCCTGATTTTGAAAGTAAACTCTGTTGTTGTTGGAGAACGGCACGGAGTCAGCCTCCATCACGTCCTCCGGGCTGGTGGCCATGGAGATTTGCTGAAAGAAGTCGGACACGTGCGACTGTAGATTCGCCCTGGCCTCGTTCACGATGTTCTGCGGCAGCTCGTTGTCGCTCTGGAACGAGCTCTTTGTTCTGCTCTTCTTCATAAAGAGCGTGGGATCGGTCGGCAGGGTCAGTGCTGTCGAGCACTTGCTGCCCGAGGGGAAGAACGTCAACGGGCCGATATCGGCGTCGACCCTTGGCGTGCTCTGATAGAAACTCTCCGAGACCGATGACTTTTTCGGCTGCTGTGACATCGATTGACGTTTGTTCGCCCGTAAATTGGGCTTCGTTGCCTGAAACCGAACCATACACACGTACGGATTGTTATACGTACGGTCTCTCGTTGTCATTGGTTGATATTCAAGGCTGGTGGTTAGAGGCGAGTTCGTTAGAGAGCCAAACTGGCTGAAAATGAGAGACAAACGAGTCGAGATCGATACCTGAAAGTACGTCCTCAGGTCGCTGCCGTGACTTCTGCATCTCCTCCGGCGTACAGGCGTCGTTCTCGCCGAAGCCATCGCCGCGTTCTCGGCATTCTGCCCGGCTACCGTCCGAGTCCTCGTCCCAACAGCGGGAGGGGTGTTCGATAGATCACGAAAGGGCCTGCGGGGCGCCTTGTTCAAGTTAGGCGGACCGTGAGGCGTCGAGCTGCTCGCTGACAATGATCTCGAAACCGTCCACTTCAGCATCTCTATAGGCAGAAAAGCAAATCCCTAACTAAGCGGAACGCGCCTAACGTGCACTCGCTTCCACCCCTCGCGTCCACCCCTTTCGCTAAAAAAGCTTACAACAAGCTTTATCGATTAGCGTTTTCGAGCCAGAGGACGTTTCTCCTCGTTGAAATTTCGTCGGACAGCTTTCCAGCTTTGCGCGGATTTTTCGCAAAGCGAAAGCGAAAAGGAAAGAAAGAAGCAGGCAGGTTATCGCACGATCTCGTACGCGTTGACGGGCATACGGGCCGCCGAAAATAAATTACTCGGCA